CTTACTGTATCAAGAAACTCGAAAGCAATAATTTTAAATTGAACGCTCTAAGAAGTTGTTGATAATTGATGTAACTACTCAGAAAACTAAAACCGAATAAACTCGAAATTTTATTTTCCGAGATTTTTCTTAAATTACCAATACAGTAGTAAAAATAAAATTGACGATTAAACCATTTCATTTAATAAATCTGTTTATACCACCAGACAACCCAATTTCAAAAATTGATGAACTTTACTTCAACTTCAATTTACATTCTTTACAAGTTTTAATAACTTTTTGAATTTAGATTTAGCTCAGGATAGTTTTATTATTAAAGGTATGAATAGATTGTTGGACTGGGTGATAGAAAACACTGATGAATCAATCGTATTTGAATATGAACCTTTTTAAGTACATTTCACGAGATTGGAGATGCTAAAACTAAGGTGGTTCTTTGTTAATCAATATTTTTTGTTTTCTTAACGGTTTTCAGGAAAATGTTTCACAAATCAGGTTAAACGTTTATTATTATTATGATTATTATTATTATTATTATTATTATTAACATCTTGTTTTATTTTGATTTGTTTATTTTCCTTTTTTTTTCAGTCGGGGTTATCTGTTAGAATCCACTACAGCAATATGAATTACCTTTTAGAGATCCTGCTTATAGGAATAATATTAGAATAAATAAATAGAATGAATAAATAAAACTGAAACCGAACTGTTTAACTTTCCATTGATCAGCTTACAAGATGTACGTACCGTTTTATTGTTGGCTGTGGTCGTGAATTTATTATCTTTTTAAGTTGTAATTCATTTTGTGCTTCACTCTGTAGTTGGGTTTTACCTGTAGTGTATTGTATTGAATAAATAAATAAATAATTAAATAAGTACTTATAGTTGAATTTGGAACACCCAGTATTTACGATGAACGCATCATGGGATAGCGATACTTCGTTCGTCTACTTAGACGTTGAAAAATACGGAAATTTACAAACAACGAAAAAATGCCGACATGATTTATCTTGATGCCAAATGTAATAGAATTTTTCTTCTGCACGATATATTTTTACTCTTTCGCTTACATCAAAGGCTTATGACCTGAGCGAGAGTTGCCCCACCGAATCTGCTTTAAGAAAAATGAACGGAATATGACGGTGAATGAGCCTCTTTCTCCAAGCTGGATTGTGTCTAGAGTACACAACAGAATCAAACCGACATCTAATTTTGCGTTATTACGAAACCACATTAGACAAGATGTTTTTCTCGGAGAAACTGCAGCGTAGGAGTGAATATATTGGAGGAATCGAACAGTCTGAAATACAGAGAGTTCAAAATTCAATTTGCTACATTAATTTTGATTAGATTAATAAAATAACAATATATTTCGGTGGATGGATAACGTCCTTTACCTTTATTTATATTTTTCCTTTTTCTCTCGATTGACAAACAACTTCTGATACATTTTATTGAGTTTTTCGCGATATAAAGAAAATTGCTAGCGATAAATCATGCTAAATCGACAAGTGAGATGTAGAACGTTTGGTCATCATTTTTCAGGTTTTAATGGCAAATGTGGATCAAAATGCAATTGTATGTTCTCCTAAACAGAACGAATTGTGTCGTTGTTTATGAGATTATGGGGACTTTCGCTTTTTGTTCTCGCTCGATGCAATTTGTGAAGAAAATCTATCACACCTGCTATTGCTAGCAGTTTCATTTGTTTTTTTATAGTATTCATATAAAGAAAGAAACTGCATCAATAAAATAAATTTAGTTGATAGGTACTAAACTAAATTATAATTTAGTGTGTGCTAGAGACGAGGCACAAAACGGATACAAATAACTGAACAATCTTCTAATTTATTTTAAATGCTTGGATTTATTGATAATGCTGAAGAAGAATATTTTCTGTATCTTTTTGTGAATTTACATTGATTTATTTGGAATTTAATCAATCCAACAGTGTAGGGATTTGTTACATTCGCCAATGGTTCCATAATTGTTGAAAATGTCGACGTATTAAGTATTTTCCTACCAAATCAAGCTTGTAATCGGGAAAATTCAACTATCCTTTTTTTTCAAATTCCGCAAATTAAAAAATATATTTTAAGTTATTGACGCCTGGGTCTAGCAATTCATATTTTGAATCAATTATTTCAAAAAAAATATGTAGATGAAGGTTCAGTTGTTTCCAGATTATTTTTCGTAATAGTTTACAGATGTCAAACATGGGCATTCATCGATAAAACATTATATAAAAATAAGAACTATGATTTGAGACCTAAACTCCAAACAAAAACAGAACAACCAAAGCTAATAATATTAATAATAATAATAAGTAAAAATAAAATTACAAGAGAGTTCCTAGTGCAATATATCAATATTAGTGAAAACGAAACATGTAGGTATTATTTTTGCGTGCCCTTTCAATTGCTGCTTAAAGGAAGAGATGACATCGGCTCACCTAGGATTTAAAATATTAATAAAATTATAATCTATATCTTATAATATATATTCCTGGGATCGAAAAAACTCTTAACGGCAATTTGAAGCGCTTGTGAAATACAAAAGAATGTGAAATATCTTAGCATATTTCTGAAAAATATAAAATTAGAACCTTTTTTTGTTTACAGTAAATAGATTATGATCTATAGTAGTAAAGGCAAAATTATTGGGGAATTATGATCTAAGTATACGACCAACGGGCATTTTCGTTCAAATATGCAAGGTGGAGTGAGAATACAAAAGCAAAAGCCATGGTGGATGGCGACAGTGGTCTCACATGTTTTGTAAAAAATAATATTGTAGCTGTTGATAGCTCGACTCTAAAGGGCCATGTGTTCTAATTAGGTTTTAGGCACCGTGGGCCTCTTTATATAACTTTTGTTTAGATTGCACCAATGGGACTTAAGAAGACACGAATTTCAGTTGTTTATATTTCCTCGCATGTTTTCCACAAAATTTACAATACAAGTAAGTAAATTAGGAAATGCCATCGGAGTTTTTTGCAATATCTTCTATCAATATAACTAATTAGAATACTCTTGGTTAGTTACACTTCATTACATCGTTACACTTCAGTCTTATTGTGTACAGACGGTTTTTTAACTATCGTGAGTCCCTTTTTGTTTGTTACATGCACAGCTTAATACATATGCAATGATTGATAAAAACGGTGAATACATAAAAACGTCTATTGAAATTAGTTTTTATTTTTTTAATATGACAAAATGCTACCAAGATACAGGGCAGAAACTCTGAAATATGTATCTATCTTAGAATATTGTAATAACACCAAAGTTAGCACTATGCAACAACAGATACTACTGTTTTCGAATCCATAAGCAATTTAATTTTATCAATTTAATTTAACCCGTTTAAAAAAAAGTTATTTGTATTGAAATTTGACCGTTTTGTTTCGCACGTCATTGCATTTCGTGTCTTAACCACATAATGGGAACGTCATTCCAAAAGAACTTATGTTTAACGAACTACACTCTCGAAAACACATAATTTCGCCTCTAAATCGCTCAATTACATGTTGAAAACATCACGCGATAATTTTCCATAAATTAGGTACCCTGTAATTTATTGATATGCAAAAATATTGCCTCATTACTTAAATGAGCAGTAAAAAACTGTTCTTTACTGAATACAGTTGCTTGTTCACTTAGGTTATACGAATTGTGATATGTTTTATAACGGGGGACATCAAATTTACTAATTTTTTTTGTATTTTCATTAGGAAATTAGAGAAGATCCACCGAAAATGGACGCATTACGTAATTGAATGTGGTTTTGCGGGTAAGAACAGCAGCGGTCTCGCCGGATCTCTTTGCGAATCTTTAGCAATTCCTTTTCAGCAATTTATAGATTAATTATACCGAATCTTTCAACTTTCAAGCTGACAGGTGAAGTCGCGGTTGAGGGATAAAGATATTAATAATTCCACTAAATGAGTAAAATAATTAAAAAGCCAGTCAACACCAAATTAAATAAGATCATTGTTGTTTTTACTCATATAATATGAATCAATCCAGAAAAATTCCAAACATTTAACATTCCGAAATAAAATATTGATGCGAAGCAAATTTTTTTGACCTCAAATTAATAGTTGCAAGTTGATAAAATTTGCAGAAATTGTGTAATTCCAATAAAAAATTTAAAAAATTTATCTTTATCAAAAATCAGTTAACCTTGTCACACCTTAACATTTTATTTACTCTTGTGATTATGGTCATTATGCAGCAAAACAGCACCAGAGATTTTGGATGAAGGAAGGATTAAAATTAATAAAAAATGATCTTGCTTGATACGGCGTCATTAGACGATGGAAATTCTCTTTTATCTTTCACAAAAAGTTGAATTAGATAGAAAACAAAAAATGTCTCAAATTTCTTTGAAATTTATTATTAATTTTAATTTTACATATAATTTTGGATAAAAAACAGTTTCTTTTTTTAATCTAAAAGCTAATGCCAAAGTGGGACTTTCAATGTCTTCTCTGCACAGACTGTTAAAAAATAAAGATAATTTTGTAAGCCCATATAGTTTAGTGTTTTTACAGAAAACCGTTTTTCAATGCTAGTTTTATGCTATTGCATCTTTTAGAAAATTAATAAACTTGCGCGGAGTGCCGTTGCTGAAACAATAGCATCATCCCTCTAATTTTTAAATATTGCTGAAAAACCGACTTTGAGGTATCTAACCGAAAACTTTCCCTACCTCTTCTCTCAAACACCTTTAGGGGAAACAAAAATATCGAGTTATCGGTTTTCCTCCACACATACGCTCAGATGAAATCAACACAAAATTATTGACGCTTATTGAATGAAGCTTTCTTTTAACGAAGTCTAGTCTCGCCGTGGTAGATAGGAAATATGTCTAAAAATTTTATTGCCCTCTTCATTTTAACTTCTTTTTCTGCGCACATTCTGAAAAGGAGAAGCAGCCAACTTTGGAGGCAACAGAAAAGTTCAGTCGCGAACCAGTTCAGTCGGTTTTAGTATTCCTGCAACTTTTGCGCGGTGAGAGTCTCATCGGTGGTCTCGTTTGCCGGCAACACCACACGTGTTTGCCGCCGATTCCTCGTTTTTCCGATTATCGAATATGCATTTTAGGGACAATTCAGAGAAATATTCCAGATTTCCCTAATACTGCTTAAAGAACATCCAGTTGATAGAAAACTTTCTTCCGGTAGGTAAATGATGAATGGATGCTGAATTTGGATGTGCTTCATTTAATTTTATATTAGTATAAAACTATTTCATTATTTTCTCTTTTCACTTTTTCGTAATTTTTTAAGGATTGTTATATTATTAATTTAGGTTTTGTGTGTATCATTCATTTTAAGTTATTGATTATGTGAAATTTATGATTTCGCTTTCAAAAATGCTTGAGAACTAATTAACTATATTTTAAAAATACTACAGTTTTAGAGTATACGGACAATTTCAAAACGATTTGAAAGATTAATCATTTTCATTAGATCTGGCCTCGTAAATAAAAAGTAAATCGTTGAAGATGGATGATTATTACTTGATTATTAATTTTGTCATTTGTTTTGCTGATTATCTAGTTATAAATTGGTATTATAATGAGGGTCACGTTTTCCAAATCATAATTTTGTAACAATTAAAAGGTTTTGAGGAATATGTATGGGTATTTGTAAGATTTGTGATATCTATATGATCGATTACTTTTCCTCGTTGATAAATGGAAAACATTATTTAAGTCAATTACGCTCGAAATTCCATCGGTATCACCGGCAGTTATTCCGTATAATAACATTTTTTCCAATTTAGTTGTAACGATTTAATTGGATAATCGTGCTTGATGTCGCCGGCAAATATATCATATTAGTCGCGGCATGCTTTTTTCAAATCGAAAATTTCTATTTATTTAACAAAGTTATTCCACGGCGATACGGTTTCATCTAGGTGTGAAGAGAATGTTGAGTATGACGACTTTCCAAGAAAAACTTTGCACAAAACGGCGGTCAGCAGACATTTCTTTGTTCTACTAATGTTTACCAACGGACTCTTAAAAGGGAAAGGCATTTTAGCATTCTCAAATACAATTTTTTCCGCACTATTTCTTCTGGAGGTATGTCATAATTATGTGGGTGCGATTTCCAGAAATCGCGATGTATACCTGGCAATATTTCGAAACAAATTTTAAAATGTGATTGCATACTTACACTATCACCTAATATATAATAAACAAAAGAATAATAAATAAATATATATGAGATATCAACGAAAAAAATAGAAAAAAAAAGGAAAAATTAAAATTTATTCTTAACTGAAAATTGACTAGAATAACTTTAAAATATTAAGTAAAAGGCAGTTAATAGTAATTACAGAGAACAGAGAGGAAAAAGGAGAGATATAAAATTTGTTTTCTAATTAAAGTCAGTGAAAACTATGATGATTTTGTGCTGGACATCTCAGAAACTATTTCAGCGGTAACTTGGTTCAAATTCAATTCACCCTGTACCTCTTACCTCACCAATATAAATTTAGATTACCAAAGTATACTTCTTTTGGCATATGCCATATTCTTTAGGCTGAATTTTTGCTAACTTTTTATATACCACACAACAACGATACAATATTTGTATAAAATTAAGAATTACCGATTTTCTTTTAACTGTTTCAAATTAACTATTTCTATTGTATAAAAATAGAAATTAGATTAAATTTGCAAAATACGTGAATACAATGAAATTAGTTTCTATTATACAGGGTATCTCATAAGAGTTTCAGAGCACCACCTTTATATTTTAAATATATATAATTATATATAATTAAAAATTTATTTCGTTAACGTAAAATTCTACATATTTGAAATAGTAAACACCTATCGAAAATTACCACATTTGTATATTCAATAACGATTTTTATACATAAAAGTCAATTTTTTTTAAATGGAAGGTCCGGTATATTTTGCATTTTACTGTGTATCATTCTTCAAGAAAGATTCAAGAAAAAGAATTTTATTAAACAGTAATTTGAATTAAAAATTTTTGTTCATTTTATCAACTAATAAAACTGGTGAATGCATTTGTAGCAAAATTTATAGTTATCTACGAGAAGGAAGAAAATGCAGTGCTCAGTTTTAGTTAGTTTATTAAAAAACGAAAAAGTTACAGCGAATCGAAATGTTATCGAGGTAAATTGAATGCTCTGTCGATTATATGAAGGCTCACAGGAACGCCACTGACTATTTTGATTCTGAGATAGCCAGTATTCAGCTACGCTCCAATTAACTTTTTGACATTAGACCATCATTCAAAGTTCCAAAATCGATATTTTCAATTTAGCGGTCGATTGAAACGTCAAAGCGTTTCAACAAACTGTCAGATTTTAATAAATATCACTGCGAGTAATTTAAAGATGTGTTGTTCTTAATGGGTCAGACTCTCCAAAACATTGCGTGGAAGCATTTATGGCGTGAGATATTTTTAACGTGCATAAAAATTAATGGAAATCACCGACGGACACATCGAGACGGAAATAAATCATATTATATTTTAGTCCCAATTTGTTGGTAAAATTTATTGTCGTTTGGCAAAGGAGGCAACATTCTTTTGGCCCGATTTCTTTTCGCGTACGGATTTTACATACAGGTCGTGTAAAGTGGTTGTTTATGTTACGTTGTAACGCCCACTCGGTTAATTTTAAATTCCATGAAGAAAAGAAATCATGCCGTAGTGACATTGTAAAGGTTCTTATTTTGAAATATTTCATATTTATTCTAAATGGATTCATGAGGCTCACCGTGCGTTGTTTGACAGGAACTTACTGACCATTTTCAGTTTAGAGGTCAGCCCGAAATTTCTATCAATGCTTGGGACAAGTCTATTGAATTTCCTTGCCATTGATAGACCGTGATGAGGGATATTAGGTGACACACAATAAAGTGATTCTTTGTTGTACCCTCAAATTGTGGAAAAGTTGCGTATTGCCGGTCCTGCCACTGAAAAATGTTTTTTGTGTATCGGAAACTTTTTTTTTGTCAAAAAGAAAACCGAAAGCCAGATAATTCAGTTTTTCCAGCATATTTGCGGAAGTACTTAACGGCATTTTTAGTTTTGTATAGCATTTTATTTTAGTAAAATAATTAAAAATTATCTGTTAGAATTAACGTATATTTTTTAAATAAAAAAATGAAAATGCATATCAATTTATAAACTAAATATTATTTACAAATGTCACAAATATATCTCCTGCGGCGCCGGGACATTGTTCGCGAGCCCATTGATTGCACATGTAGCATAATTCTGCTCTCTGGTCACCGGAGAAGCCATATGTTGCACCATGGTCAGGCAAATAATTATTTTTGGGTATTTCCTTTATTCAAGCCTAATGCTCTTAGTATTATGTTTGATATAAACTTCGGCTTGTTTCGTGGCATGATGACTTACAAAAAAAACACTATCCATATAAAAAAGAAATAGTTTATTAAGACTTGGTTCGAATATCAGTCTTGTCCCATTACAGACCCACGCTAGGGAGCATATTAACAACATTCCACCTGATTATTTATTCTATGTCACTAAGTATTTAGGTTAGTTTTCATTTTTGAATATCAAATCCTGGTATCAATTCTAACGTACTAACACACCAAATATCTAGATTACTACAACTACAATACTACAAAGATATTTACAGTAAAAACAATTTTGTAAATACACAAATAAGCATGTTTCTAAAGACTGTACGAAATTTATGGATGTCGCTACCTACTCTAGTGGAAGTATATTGGGCGCCCAAGTTCAGGACTCATATTCGGACCACTCCCGCTAAGTTTGTTTTAATTTGAGCCGCCTTGTATGCTTTATATTTTTGAGCTCTAAGTGGCTAGAATCGTGCAGCTTGTAAACTGGTTTAGTGAAAATATAAATAATCTAACATGAAATAATAATTTGTAATAGTTCCTATTAACATTTAATATTTAATCTGTACTTTTTTTAGGACAGTTATCTTTTCCGTTGGGTAGGGAATATAAAAATAAGGTTTTATTTGTAAAAACTGTTAGTCATATGTCAAAGCTTAAGACTACATCCATATTTGCAAAAAGGGTCTGAGATACAGATTTTCAATCAATTGAACTCTGGATTAACCAAGATTGCATAGATGTATTGTGATTTTTGCTATTTACAGATATGTGGTACAGTTTGTAATTATATTTTATAATACTGTTTCATTTTGTAAAGAACAAATGGTCTCAGAACACTTTTGTCGTAAAACGCAAGCGAGAATTACAGTACATATTTCAATACCACCCAAAACGGCGACGGCAATACTAACTTTACATACAATATAACTAAATATAGAATTTTGTGTGAACAGCGCATATGTTTCTGTGCAATTTTGACTGATTTCTAAATGTAAGGTAGCAAAATCTCTACCAGAATATATCAACATTTTAGTAACAAATAGCACTGTTATTTATTGAAAAAGCACCGCAAATAGTTTTCCGAGGGTATGTATATGATAATTAAGTTAGTAATACAGTCTTTCTTTAAGTATCTGATAAAATTCAAAAGATAGTGCAGTAGTTCTTATATTTTATCCATCAAAATTCCCGATGCATTGTGTGTATACGACAGAACATTTTGGTTTTTTGTGGACAGCGACATATTTCAATTGATAACGACCAACTCTCGTGCATCTGCCCAGCAGAGTTTATAAGGAATATTTTGCCCTTTTTGTTCTCCCAACGTTTCTGCGAACGAAGCTTGACAAATTGATTCAAATTTCTTTTATTCGGTCTTTCTCTTTTTGTCAGAGCGCCGGGAAACATTATTATTGGTTTACATTTGAACAAATGAACATTTCGGTAATCGGCATTTGATTTTAAATTCTACTTTTCGTTAATAAACAAGAAATTTTTGATAACATCTCAATTTTCGATTTTTTTCGTTTGTCTGCTCCGTTTAGGTACTTTAGGTTATGAGCAAACGGGTCGATAAATTTGCATGCTCTTTCGCAAGAATGAATGCGAAGAAATCAGACGTAATAAAACTTCATGCGTGACAAATTTAGGCCGTATAAGACGAAAAATTTATTAATACGTTAAAAGAACAGGATTTCAATATGCGATTTGGTTTTCCGACCGGTTTCAAGGAGAGCGAGGACGTTAAAATTTTCTTCATGGCGTTTTTATGAGACAGTTTTGCCTTTTTAGAG